TTGGCTCTGATCTATTGAGTCGTAGAGACATTTCGATTAAATTATCGTCGTGTAACATTTTAAAAATGTTTTGTCTAAATTCTAATCTATTTTTGGTTAATTCTAAGCTATTAAGGTCTTGTTCGAGACTTATGGTCGCACCAGATGAGTTATAACCGATGGTCTTAACTCCTAGAGTAATTTCGGATAGGGTACACCGTCTGCTCGTCACGCTATCTTATTTTCGGCCGGATAGATTCGTGCAACTTCTTAGTCTAATACCGATCCTAATCTTACTCTCATACTATTCTAGTCTCAGGTTGTTTAACTAGTCTCTGCTAGGCTCAATAGATCTAGGGTATACTGGTTTATTGCGGCTGCTGAAGTTCTCTAGGAGAGGCAACTAATTTCTAAGTTAAATTCAGCACCTGTAATTTCAGCACTTACAAATAAGTGGGTTGTTAGTTAGATGGATCATGATTGGTTAATATTAAATACTTTACAGTGGTAAAATATCTAATTTATCCAATCATAAAATGTAGTTTAGATCAGGTTTCAGTAACTTTGTTAAACTCATGATATACGCCACAAACAACAACTCAACACTCAAGTGTTTCATCCACCATTTTTCAAAAAAAATCTCAATAGTTTACTTACAAGAAAGGCTTCTGTCGATTAAACTCATATTTTGTCACAGTTTCTGTTCTTTGTTAATTTGTTAAAGGTTTCAATCTAACTCTCAACTTTTCTGAGAACACCGTCGGCGCCAATGTACGACATTATTTGGAAGGTAGCTCAGCAAAATGGAAAATGCCTGGTCTTAAGCTTTCAAAACAGCACATAACGTCCAAAACATCACCACGTGAATGCTCAAAACAGCACATAGTCCTAAATAATGATACCAACTCATTAATAGTGAATATATAAACCACGAAAGCAAAAAAAAGTAGTCCAATATCCAATAAATTTCCTTCCGCATAAAAATAAGGTTGCATCACAAAAAACTAACTTATCTCAGGCAAAAGTTTACCACTAAAAATTTCAATCAAGATTTCGCTATCACAAGTCATGGGATCAAAAACTCAGAAAATGGATTTTTTCAAGGTACTTGACAAAATTAGGAAAATCAAAAATCTGATATCAAATGGAATTTAATGCTTACTTTCTGTCTTGGAGAAGGTGTGAAACATTTTAAGTTATCCAATTTCTCTTTTGTTCCGACGATGTCACAAAGTAACAAGAAGAACTATGGCAAAAAACTTTCTTTCCTCGATTTGTGGTACATCAAGGAAAACTAGTTGCAGACCAGGTGTGTAAAATTTTTTAAACTTTTTTGATCGCGATTCGGATTGGAAAAAAAAACTTGAGAAGTTTCAGAAGTTTGTCACTGATGTAAACTTTTTAATTTTAGTGACTAATTTACAATTATGATTTTTGCTTGTATACAGAGAGTGGCAGAATAAAATTTCATTTTAAATCTACTGTTTTTCAAAGGTTATTTTTATCTATGATCACCTTAACGTTGCAAATTGATATTTAAGCAAAAATGTTCCCAGATAATTTTTTTTCTCGTTTTTTTTTCTATAAAGGCTTACAGTTTTTTTAAAAATCTTTTGCTATTTTTTTATTATTTTTTATTAAGATTACCGAGGGCGGAACCTTCTGTGCTATTTTCTCAGCACCCGGATATCCTTATTTTTTGATTTTATTAATGCAGTCTCTTTGAACTGAAAAATTTCAAGCATTACAGATTTTTCGAGCAAATAACAAAACTTGAAATTCTTTCAACAAGAAAAGGTTGTCTCATCATTTTTTAAAAAATTTGTACAAAATAAGAGTTTTCTGCTCTGTTTGCGCAAAGAATTTGAAAATGAAGCGCTTAAAATAACCAAAACTACCAAAACGGAATAAAGGTCAAGTTATCATCTTTCCTCTTCCTCTAGAAGCATTTGGGAAGATCTTATCTTGCTTTTTGGTAATATATTCAGGGAGCAGTTTGTATATTCAGGGAGTGGCGAAAAAACATTTTGCGAAAAAACTGTTAATATAAGTGTTTGTTGTAATGTATTCGATTATATACTTCATTGGGTTGTTGCGTAACAAATACGCGCAATGTTTTTCAAACAGCAACTCAACAGCAAAAGAGTACTGCTGCAGTCGCACCAACGTTTTGCGAGCTTGCCAACAAATGGTAGGACTCTATACGAAAGTTAGGCTCTTTTCCAGTTTCCCCCACCTTTCAAAATACCGAGTTTTATGTTTGTTTTACGTGTTATTACGGCTAAATGCGTAATGTTACGCTGTAAAGTATGAAGAACAAATCTGTTCACAGCTGTTGATTCGTTCACCACGCCAAATTTCATTGCATTATGACAAGGTTAAATAAACTTTTCAAAGTTGAATTTGAAAGGGGGGAAACTGGAAAAGAGCCAAAAGTTAAAGCCTGTTATCATCGGGAAGCCGGCAAATACTGGGTAGCCTTACCGCCACCGGCAACTTTAAACCGACACTCGACTTTTTATATTTTGACGACTTTTGACGTCTGGCAATCAATGGGACTTCAGCTGAAATATACTTTTTTGGCAACCTAAAACTTTTATCGGATCTCTTTTACTGTTTCCTTCTTTTTGCAAAAAGGGGGAGATTCGTTACTAGGTACAAAAATCATATATGCTTAACTGAAAAGATTTTAAATTAAAAGTGTGGCAATTTGTTATTAGATACCAAAGGTGGGGAAATAGTTAAAGAGATCCCTTTTAATCTTGAACTCATTGCTAAGTGGTTTCAATCCAAATTAAACAATCGATATAATACCTTAACCTCCATTGTTTAAGGGCGAGAATTTTAACTTGAACCTGGCAATTAAAAAAACGACGTCTAAATACAAAAAATTGCAGATGAAGAAGATATTTTAATTGAGTCATTTTAATTTTGCCAGGAACAATGACGTCCATAAGATGAAGACGATATTACACCGTGCTAAATATTTGTCTCAACTTTTCGAAGTAAATGCCGTTTTAACAAAAAGTGCTTTTTTAACTGGCTCGTGCTCCAGCAGATCATTGCGAGGCCAAATAGTGCGTTTTTTGAATTGTAAGCGAATTCCCCAACAAGGACGCTCCATTTGTTCTTCTTTTGTTTTGACAAAGTTTTAACATGTTTAAAGACTTGTCTCTGGAATCCAGAAACATACAGACACATCATTGTGCGCCTATCCAGTGCACAGTTTAGCCTCGTAAAGAATTTTGGCGCTGGCGATAACGAATTTTTTCAAGTAGTTTTCAAATTTACATATCAATTAAATTGCTTCAAAAGTTGTTATATTTCATTCTCAAAAATTTGAGAGTAAGGCAGTATTCTTCTGTGGGTATACAAAATTTTATCAAAAACACTTTGTTATTAAGTCAAACAATAATTGAATGAAAAAACGATCCCAAGCATAAAGCACGGGGTGGTTTTTTCAAAAAAAAATTTTGATTTCTTAATTAGCAATTTTTGTTAAACTTATTACTTCAGTTGAAAAGTATTGTTGTTCGGACTTATATAGTTGTATTTTTGAATTAAATTCGAAAACTTAATTCACTTAACTTTGATAATTTTTTGTAAAGTTATAAAGGCTTAAAGATAACCAATTTGGTCAAATTGGGTTAGTTAACGCGCTATTCAATTCATGCTATTGACGAGTAAACTGATATTTAATCCGTCCTGAAAACCGTTCCAAATTAAATTGAGGTAAGCTATTTGTTGAAATTAAGACATAACTATACGCCAAAATATCATTTTGTTTCTCACTTAGCAAAAAAATAATCTCAAACAAAGTTTAAAATTTCTATAAAATGAACACTACTCCATCGACTTGAGAAAAAACTAACAGTAAGAAAGTTTTCCGGACCTAATTAATGGATGATTTATATAATAAGATCTTATGCAGTAAATAACCCTAATTCGGCATTTCTCTATCTAGATATGAAACTATTGCGGTTGAGACTGATTGTTTAATTAGCCAATCAATTTCATCTTCCAAAATTTCCGAAATTTATTTCAAATCTTCCAAAATTTCCCGAAGTTTGAAATAAATTTCAAATCTTCCAAAAACTATTGACCAAACTGATCAAAACATGATTCTTTGTTCGGTTTGAACCATTTTACTGAACTTTTTTTAACTGCCCAGTTTCACAAGTGATTTGAAATTATTTTGATTTTTTTAACCAAATGTCAAATTTCTGTTTAATTTCAATTTTCAAAGTTCTTTATTTCCAACTTTTCATCAAATTTCCAAAAAAAAGAGGTTGATCAGCAGATAATCACACTTATCTATCTACTTTCGAAGAAAATGACGGAATATTTGTGCTTGGATGTTTTTTTTCCAGATCAGTTTTGATTTTTCAATTGGCCCTTTTTGCCGATTTGCTTAATATCAACTCAAAGTTTTGTTGAGTTGAGCTTAAATTAAAAAAAATCACCTGTGACCGTTTTGTGTAAAATTTTGTGGATTCAAAGCTCGCCAACTTGGCCAATGTGGGACAATTAACGCGCCATACGTTTAAAAGGTAAGCGGCGATTTAATTCGGCTAAAAATTAATTTCAAATTGAAATGAGGCATGCGATTTAGTCTAATTAATGTTTTGCTATGTGCAAATAATATTACTTTGAACTCTACAAAGCATGTGCGAGATTACTTTCAAAAAAATCTTTTTTTAATGTTTCATTTTTTTCAAAATTTCTTCAATATGTTAAAACAAACACTACTCCAGAGAAATTAAAATGCAGTCGAATTATTCATCGCTGCGCCTTGATACTAGCAATCTTGTTTTCTTTAGATTTAAGACTTGTAATGTTAAAAGCAAGGTTTCTGAATAACTATGCTAATCGAATAGACGCAGGATTGCAACTTGTTTCGGAATCAACTAGCTACTGAGCTCTGAAAAACAAAATCTTGTTTTATGCTAAAAATTGGTATATAAGCTAGCAAAATTTCGTTTCCTGGCCAAGATGATTTTAAAGGGTAGCAGTTTTCTTACCTTGCTTCTTGAATCAGCTAACTGTCGTATTGAGTGTTTTGTAGTAAGTTTAAAAACTAGCAAGAATTCAGTATGAAGTTAGTTGAAATTCAAAGTTAGCTGGGTTGTTAAGCTAATCAAATGAAGCTAATAGCGGATGTCAAATGTCTTGTCAAATGACTCGTTTTCAGACATGGAGTACATTACTTCAGATTCGGGGCTGCCTGAAGACCTCAATGGTCGGGCTAAATTTCAGTCCGCTTGCTCGCCTTTTGCTCTTCGAAACAGGAAATTAACGCCATTTTAATGTGCCTGATTCTTAAATTAAATGCTATTCTACCTACGTGACGAGAGAGGCGCTAATGGAAAAACAGAAGAAATAGAAAAATGGGAGAAATAGCTGAATAATTGGTTGAGTAAACTTAACAAAAACTGAAGTAACGTAAGATGAAAAACAAAACGTACTTTTAATCATAATGTTTACCTATGAGATTAGCTGAAAATTGCCTCATTCTTTTGACTTTCAAGAAAAGGAATTTATATTTTTTGACAAATTAAAATCTTTAACGAACAATGAAAGAATCCCTTGAGCTTCTGAGCTCAATTTGTTTCAGAAAAACAGACTGCTCCTTTGCAATTTTGTTGCTATTTTGCTAGATTGGTCCATCTGAATGCGTGAATTGAAGTCATTAATACATTGCATATTGCATTTTTCATAATTTCCTTCTAAATTCCCAAGGCAGAAATTAACACTTCTTTTTATGCAATCAAAAGCCCAGCACTTGATTGCTATTATGAAAACGTAAAAAAAAACAATATTGCCTATTTTTCAGCAAAGGTATTTTTCAGCAAAATATCAAGAGCTTTTCAAACATGCATTATTGCATTATTTTTCTGGTTTAAATACTTGACTTCGCAATCTAACGGGACAATGCGACTATAAGTCGCACTCCGAAGGGTTTACCTTACTTTGTGCAAATATGCATCCATGCATGAATTGCGATGCAATCAACCCATAAATAACACATACTGAAGCATACTCTCCAGTTAGACCTTTTTTAGAAACCACCATCAGCTTATAACTTAGTTGGCAATCGATCATCATTGCTTTAATATTAAGGGTACCCAATTTATACTTATAAAAAACTACAAAAAAGGCAACATGACACCAAATAAAGATGTATCTTTGGTCATTTCAGTGTTAAAAAACAGCTTAAAAGAAAATTAACGCTATAGGATCAACTTCAGATCAAAAGTTTTCCCAGCAAAAAAATTATCTTTTTGCATTTCAGATAAAATTGGTATTCAAAATGCTTACCCAAATTTTTGCGATGATTGCTGTGGTCGATAATTGTGAGCAGCTTGTGCAGAATTCGGTTTAGTTCAGCTTATTTTTCTGTAATTGCATTTTTAAAAAGTCTCAAGAAGGACTTGTAGATGATGGAGTGTGATAACACAATCTAGTGATTTAGTCGAGATTAATATTCCCAATATTGTTCTTAGACTTTCAGACTAATAACGCACAGAGCAGTAAAAAGTGTAACTCTTTTTTAAACAATACTGTTTATAGTTACGATTTTTCACAAAAGAGGTAGATCTTGAATTTGCTCGAGGGAGATTTTCTTGGCGGAGTTTTAAAAAACATAAAAGTTTTCTGGATCAATTTTTAGGTCGAACAAATTGGCTATCCAAATTATCCTGATGCACTAAAAAGACCTTTTTTTTAGCAGGCAGAGGTTTCAAAAACTAGGCCAAAAAAGCCATTTAGAGCATTTTTTGGAAAGTTTTCATCAAAAAAATTCCTTTTTTTGAAGCGCGCGCGTTTTCCCCTCAAAAAAAGAATATATTGACCCCAAGGACGCCTTTAGAAAAATTACAGAACGGTCGTTGAAAATGGGTGCTCTAAAGTAATAACAAAGGGATTATTACCTGGATCGCAAAAGATACCCATCCCTGACGAGACGGGCAAGCCCCCCCCCCCTCTTAATTGGATCTATCATCTGTAATTTTTAGGCGGATCCTCTGTCGGTAAAAAAAGTTTCGTAAATTACTCTTTTTGTACAATAAAAACATCTTTTGTTTTTTGTTTTTTTTGCACCCCCTACTTTATAGCCCCGTAACAAGATGAGCCCACAACAATTTACAACTTTTCAAAATCGATAATTTGTTTCGAATTAGGTTCTTTTTATAACTACAGGAGTTTTTTAATTAAGTGTACTAATGGAGGCCCAAAGAACCAGTCTTAATCCAAAGTCTAGACTATCGGCAAAATCATTTCTGGTCAAATCTAAACCGCATCTAGCAGCTTGCATGTTATTTCGTTTTGCTTCGCAAAATTTTGCAATTAATTTTCGATGCTTACCGACGCTATGGTTTCGAATTCATTCATTTCAAATAAGTTTCACTTTGATTCTAAAAATTGGTATTAAAATGGGATTAAATTGTAGTGGGATTATCTAGTTCTGGGGTTATATGATAAGCTTGGGAACCAACTATTTTATGTCGTCAAAAACTGCGGTTTTCTTGTACATCGGTTGGTAAGATTCTTGTTGAAGTTTCAGTTAAAGGCTCATCAACTTTTATGAACAAGCTTCCCAGGTGATACATGGAAAGTAACGTTGACTAAAATTTTTTGACAAAAACACTGTAATAAAGGTTGCACAAACTTTCAATGAGTCCTGATTGGAAAACTTTTTGCAAAATCTGGTAAAGCTTATGATGAGAAACATTTTGTTATTCATAATTAATTTCTATATGTACTAACTCAAATTCAGTTTCACAAAATTTTTTTAATCTTTCCTGTGCATATCGCAAGTCTCAATACAAGTTGTTGTTACTCAATATTTTGTCAGAAACGAAAATTAACGAGGACAAGTTTTACATTTTTGTTTTATTTGATGCAGAAACAAACCAAATAACTTAGTTTTTGCTAATTAGTGTAAATTTTTGAAAAAAAAATGAATTTTTTCCCCTAAAATTTGATGTTCTTGTATTTTAAAAAATAATAATTTTTTTCTTGCAGTAAAGTTAAAGCCTTTTTTCCAAAAGTTTTTTTGAAACAGATATAGAAACAAAGCATATAAAAAATTGCAAAAGACAGTTTTTGAAAACAGAAATGAAGACAGACTGTTTTTCACATGCAAAAGATAGTTTTTGAGACAAAAGTGCAAATATATTCCAAGATCAGACAGTTATTGTTCAAACTTGGCAGATTGTATATTAATTTTGTCTGTTCCAACTTTTGCGCTTCTCTATCAGGGTTGCAATTTTTCAGATACGTTCAATTCAAGGCCAAATAATCAATAATTTTTTTTAATTTAAAAAAATTCCGCCGACGCTTTTTTTTTCAGCATTACCGGCAAAAAAACCATCACAAAAGTTGAAAGAAAAATGTCTAGATTGAAATCGGCTTAAAAACATTGTTTGAGAAATCGTTAAAAACAATAAATGAGCTTGCATTAATAGCTTCTTTCTGAAAGTATTCTTTGTGGCTCTTCTATGAGCGCCAAATTTATCTTCTCAAGTTTCTTAATCTATGTGAAGTACAATCCCTGTACGTAATTCACAACTTTATTAGAAAATTTGACCAATAAAAACCTTTAATAATTTTAAATAAATTACTATTGAGGCATTGAAACATTCTGTTGAATTCGATAGATGTTCTTTAATGTATCTGGTTTGCTTAAAAAACAAAATTGTATCGCCTATCTTGAATGGTGTTGGAATAAAAAAGGCTTTGAAAATGGTAAAAGCAAATCATAAGACGAGATTGTCAACGAAACTCACCTTCTCCAAAACTTCAACTTCAGAAGAAATTTTTAACTATGCCGATGTCGAGTAAACAACGCAAAGCGGTACAAAAAAAAACAAAAGCCCGACAAGTAAATGGTTCAAGTAAGAATTTTGACGGGCTTATATCAGGTTGTCTCTAAATTGGACCCAACATGAAGATGGAAAAGTGTCAAATAGTTGCGCATTTTGACATATTATCGCTCCCAACAATATCCACAAAATTGAATTCGGGTCCCAAATTTTGTTCAGTCACTGGGCAAAATTGAAGTGGGAATAAAGCACAGTTCAGCAGTGATTTTTACCCTTTCCCGGGACAAATTTCATCAAAAATCTCTTTTGGGGAAACTCATTAAATGACCAAATGGTGCTATGTAGAAAACGTTAAATATATATTTGTTATTCTCTTTTACCCCCTTTTAAAATTACTTCAACTCTACGCCGCAGTAAGCAAACGAGGCTAAAATAAACAGCTGATGTCTGATTTTTTCAGCCCGCTTTCTTCTGAAAACATTTTTTAATCACGATTCTGGTCGATAGGTTCAGAGAACAAAGCAGTGAAATGCTCTTTTAATTCATTAGGCCGACTTGATTAAAAACGCACGTTGTTTGTTCTCTCCCTACCTGCCGAAGGCCATTTGTGTTAAGCCACAACAAGTGACCAAAATGAATTAAACAACCAACGGAAACAAACTAACAATTTTCAATCAGCATAACCAGTTTTTCAAAAAAAAAATGTTTACTTTAGTGACGATTTCCTTTTTCATAGCAAATTAAAATGCCAGATTAATGTTTTTCATAAATATTTGTCGCAAAACTATGCACAAAAACATCAAATTTTTATATTTAGTACTATTTTCAGAACTCTCATTAAAAAAGTGCAAAGTGAAATAATTAATCTAGTAACGCATAAAAAAATCTAAATATCTTTAACTCAAGTTAATTCGAAACAATTTCAGAGCCGGATTATATAGCCGCTGACGCGTTAATAGCACAAAATTGTGTCCGGACGTTTGTGTACCAGACAGTTGTGTCCCAACGAAAATAGTTCAAAAAACTGAAAATTACCATGACAAGAAATTTTCAGACATTTGTTTCCCAAATGTGTCCACTTTGAACTACCGTTTTTTTTTCAATCAGCTCGGCAATTTGTCTTGGACACAAATTTCTAGGGTGGTGATACTTTTTGAAGATTTGATGGTTTTGTCATGGATACAATTGTCCCTGACTAAAATTTCTTTGCTAAAATCAGACAAATTGGCAGTTTTCAAACCCCCACACGTACACGAAAAAATTTTTGCAGATAAAATAGATTTCCAAAATTGCACTCAGGATATCAATTACTTTCAGATGATAAAAAAAATCCCGTAATAAACAATTATTTCAAAACTGAAGTTTTTCTGATTGAAAAAAAAACAAACCGAGCATTATTTCCTCCTTTTTTTGAAAGTTTGAACAGTATATCACGCCAACTAATCTAAGCAACTTTGCCCCTATCCAACAGCGGATTTAGGTAGGGCACGGGGGAGGGGCAGACGCCTTTCCCTCAGGGATTCGACCCCCTTCCGACCCAAAGGGTCCCCCTTTGTACTACTTTGAGATATCCATTTTTGGTGACGGACCCTAGGCTTATGAACT